GGCCTCAGTGTCAGTGGACAAGCCAGGTAGAGCACCGAGGCCATTCCCATGTTAGCGGCAGAAGGAAGACCAGTGGCAAGGCTGGGATATCTTGACAGCATGCTTACTGGAGCTGTCATTCTTGCTGCTCTTGTAAAGGTCAGTGCTCTGGGTTTTCTTGGGAGGACAGGGGCAGCTGTCTTGCTTACTTAGATCTGGCTTTCTGCTCTGGCTGTGACGTTGCTTAGACTAACTACCTCAGGTAGCTAAGGCAAGGAGAAGGATTCTGCAGCCCTGATCCATGGCCTCCTTTGCCACCATTTCTTTTCTCTCCATTCCTTCCCTTCCCTCCTCCTGGATCTAGGAAGTTTCAAAACCTAGGGTGAGCCCATTAGGAACCAGCCAAGGCACGTGGAACCTGCAGGGAGCCAGTGTGAGGAATTACAAGGGCAGCATGGCAAATGGTGGCTTTCACTTTTCCCCCTCCTGGCTGGCGTCCAGCTTGTAGATAAGGGTGCTGGCACTCTGATGCTGACGGCAGAGAGCGGTAACTACAGAGTGAGGAGGACGCTGCAGTTCCCTCTGCAAAGCCTTCGTGAGTTCTGCAAGGTCCGCATCTTGGGTCCCAAGGACAAACAAACCTTTTGTTGCCTGTGGTGAGGAGCGCACAGCTCAATTGGGTGGGTGAGAAGAATGTTCGGGGGGGCTGGCGACAAAGGCAGGGGACCCAGGAGACTCGGGCAAGCTTGCCTGAGTGGCTGGACCCTTTTGGGGGGAGGCAGAAGGGAAGGGGGCAGGATGAGTCTGTGGATTATGCACTGTGGTCCGACAGCTCCTTGCTCCCTCTGCCTCCCATCACATGCTACAAATGGAGGAGGAATTCCTGCTTTGAATACAGGGGATGTTACAAGAGTTGGAGAGTAGCTAAGCTTAAACCCATTCCAACAAGCTAGACTGGCATACCTGAGTTTTGCTTAATTGACAAGAGAGAGCAGCAACCTTATGAGAGACTGCACGTTTCCCATAAACATTGTAGAACAGTGTCCAGGCACATGGTGAAATGTATCTGAATTTGTGCCGATTCAGCATTTTGCTTCTACGTGTTGTGTATAGCTTCTGATGAGCATTCTTGATAACAAGAAGGTAAAATACGATGTTGAGGGCAACCTTAAGCCTTGAACCTAGGACTTTGCACTGTTGAGCTACACCCCTATTTCCATAAATATGATTTAGGGGCATCAAAGCAATAGTAGCCAGGCTCAGTGCACTCCTAAAATCCCAGCACTCTGGGAGACAGAGGCAGATGGATCTCTGTGAGGCTAGCTTGATCTACAAAGTGAGTCAAGAACAGCCAAGGCTACCCCTGTTTCAAAAAACAAACAGACAAACAAAAAAAGGATGAGGGCTAGAGAGAGCAAAATTCCAGAGAGATGGGACCACTCAGAGCCAAGGTGGGTGGCCTCTGTCCTGCGAACATTTGCTGATGCTGGATGCAGGCTGAAGGTTGAGGCTTGGCTCCGGCAGTCCTTAGCGGTGACCAAAGAATTGAAACTCAACACGGAGGAGTTTCAACGTGGCCGACTCTCTCCTCCCCAGCCGAAGACATTTTCTTAATTTACAGTGTGTAGAAGCCACACCCCCGCCACAAATCTATAACACACAAAACTATGAAAGCCCCAGAGAGAATAAGGAATGGACACCGGGCTCCCATACACCCTGTCACCTGGGTACTTCCCGATGAGGGGCAGCTCAAGGCTGTACACAGAGCTGCCACCTGCAGAAAGGCTGCTGCTAATGGAGAAACCGGTGGAGAGCTTGATGATCGCATTGCTCAGATGGCACGAGGGCACCATCGTCCCGTAGGCAGTAGGTAGGGGCAGGGGCGCCAACAGGTTAAGGTCACACTACATGTGACCCGAAGCCAGTGTAGGAGGCCGCCTACACGGAAGATAAGTGGATTTGATAGGTTACGAAAGTAAGCCAAAATCCTCTCATGGTCTGATTCTCCACAGCCCTGTGGTGCAGGGGACATAAAGATCTGCCCCTCGCTGCTGAGCTCCTTAAAGCTCCCCTCGCACCCCAGGTCCAGACTGAGTCTCTCGGGAGCTGAAACCCAGCCTGACCCCGTGCAGCTCTGAGAAGGGACTTCTTACCTACCTATTTTGCCTAACAGAAGAAGGGGAGCGTCCCCTGCCAGATGGTCACATTCTATGGCGTCTTTGCATATTTCAGCATGAGATTAAAACAAAACAAGCAAACAAACAAGCAAACAAAAAACACCTGCAGGAAAGCAGAACCATATGCCTGGAGTCAGGAGGGGGAAATGTAGATAATGAATGATTCAGAGATGGTCCAGGTATTAGCATTTGCATCAGGGATCTTACAATAAGTAAAATAATATACTGAGGAAATAGAGGGTAAATGAGCAAAACAGGCAAAGGAAAGAACATCCTCAGGGATTTAGTATTTTGATTGATGATTGATTGAGACAAGGTCTCACTAAGTAGACCCTAACTGAACTGTAACTCACTCTGTAGACCAGGCTGGCCTCAAACTCGCAGAGATCCGCCTGCCTCTGCCTCCCAATTGCTGGAATTAAAGGTGTGCTCTTCCATGCCTGGTCCTAGAATATATTTTTAAAGTATCAAATACGCTAGATTTTAAAAATAACTTGATGGCTGTGAGTCTCAACATCTGCTTTAATACCCTGCTGGGTAGAGTCTTTCAGAGGCCCTCTGTGGTAGGCTCCTGTCTTGTTCCTTATTTTCACCTTCTTCCAACATCTATCCCATTTGTCTTTCTGAATGAGGATTGATCATCTTACCCAGGGTCCTCCTTCTTGCTTAGCTTCCTTAGGTGTACAGATTTTAGTATGATTAGCCTATATTAGGTCTAATGTCACTTATAAGCGAGTATATACCATGTGTGTCTTTCTGCTTCTGGGATACCTCACTCAGGATGATCTTTTCTAGTCCCCACTATTTGTCTGCAAATTTCATGATTTATGATTTCCTGTTTTTAATTGCTGAGTATTATTCCATTGTGTACATATACCACAATTTCTGTATCCATTCCTCAACTGAATCTTATGAAAGAAAGGGGAGACTGAAAGACCTGGAAGGAACAGGAGCTCCACAAGGAGAACAACAGAACCAAAAAAATCTGGGCCCAGTGGTCTTTTCTAAGACTGATACTCCAACCAAGGACCATTCATGGAGATAACCTAGATCAGTGAACTAGAAAGCAGACCAATTTAAACACCCAGACCAGGGACTGGAGAAACGGTTTAGTGGTTAAGAACACTTGATTTCAATTCCAGCACCCATGTTGGGTGGCTTCCACCTCAGGGCATCCAGCACCTTTGACCTCCACAAGCACCTATACTCACATAATTAAAAATGAAAAAAATTAATCTTTTTAGAATGCCCAGATTAAGCCAAGAGAGAAACAGAAATAAGAAGGTTAGTGGTAACTGATGACCAGAAAGCACGGAAGACACACTCAAAAGGTCTAGGATATGTATAACTGAAGTTGTGGAGAGAGAGAGGCAAGAGGAGATGACACAGAACCCATCTGTGGAAAGACTGACTGAGAATTTTGCAAAGTCGATGAGCTCAGAGGTCAAAGACGCCGAAGGGGACCGCTCCTCCAAGAAGGATGACTAGGTCTTGACCTTGAAATCCGTTAACCATTGCTTTGTGAGCAGTGCGTCCATCACACACACCTGTCCACTTTTGTCGACCGGGGCAGCTCTTGTCTGCTGGACCTGGCATCTGAAAGAATGAGCAGACTGCAGTCTACTGTGGTAGACAGCCTTACTTCAGGTTCTCTGTACTTTTATACACACACTTGGCAAAGAAAGCAGCGAACCAAGAAAGGTGTGTGGAGTTGAGAAAAACACGTAAGCAAACGCCAGTAAGCACATACTAAATATCGACAAAGCAGCCCTTTCCCAGAACTTTTCTCAGGGCAGATCGATTTACACACAGCTGTCTGGCACATACTACAAACTGAATCTGGGAAAGCACAAAGGCAAGGCGGAAGGCCATACCCAGAGTCAGGGTACGCTGCCCGGATTGGGTTCTAGAGCTATGTCCTGACATCCAACAAGAATTAGCACGTCTTATGAATTACCTTCAATCTTTAAGACGTGCTTATTCCTGTTGGATGTCGAATGTTTGTCACAGGAGGCATGGAATCACATCCCAGGACAATTCAGGGATCAAAATGCACCTGAGGTACAAGGCCCTCTACCTCTTTTCCTGGAGCTTCTCTCACAGTTTCCCAAGGGATTGTCCACCATACATCATTCTCTTGATGGTGTTCCAACACCCACCGTTTGGACCACTTGCTGGCTTATGACCTTGAACAAGTCACTTGTCCTTTCTGGTCAAGTGACCTTTTTTAAAGCTAAGATTAGATAAAATGCCTTATGAAAAATGTTTAGAAACTGTTTGATTCTAAAGAAATGTGAGAGTGTCCCTCTCTTCACTGCAGTGTAACTAACCCCGGGGAAGCCTCTTAGGAGCAAGCCAGGAGATGTGTGCTACACTCTGGCCAGCCTTTACCTGCCGACACTCCAGGGACCCCCGGGCTGCTTAGTCTATCCCTCAACTAACCCTCTGCCTACTGTACAGATCAGAGTATATCTTCTTCTTCCGCCTGGGAAGCAAAGGCCCTTCTGCTGGTGCAAGAATTTACTGGTTTTTGGCTGGATGTTAGGGTGCCGGGGGTCTCAAAGGGGGAGATGAGGGGGTAGTTAGGTGTTCTAGGTAGGTGCGCAAGGCTGTCCTTTAAGGCCGCTTGGTGCTTGGTAACTTCGGGGCAAGAAAACAAGAGTTTTGGAAACCATCCCGTTTTAGACTCGTCTGCTGCTGTCGGAAACCGCCCTCTCTCGTGCTCGTGTGTCCGCCATGGTAAGAACAACGCAGGAACAATTGCAGCAGGACGGAGGAAGCGCCCCCCTGCCGCTGGCCTCGTTCGTCCGAGTTAACGCTCTCCCTCTGGCTTATCTCCTGTAGGTGATCATCAACAGCACCATCACCCCGAACATGACCTTCACCAAGACCTCCCAGAAGTTTGGGCAGTGGGCCGACAGCAGAGCCAACACAGTGTTCGGTTTGGGGTTCTCCTCTGAGCAGCAGCTCACGAAGGTACATGCCCCACCTCGCAGCGAACTGGAGCGGTTGGTTGCCCTCTTCCTACATTAACTGCATGCTGTGGCCCTGCTATGGGGTGACAGCATTGTGCTGTGGCACTGTGGCACTGTGGCACTGTGGGTGAAGGGAAGCCCTTTCTAAAAAAAGCAGACTCCTTAAAACCCGAGCCGTCTGTCGAGGAAAGGAAGTCATCTCCAATAAATGCTGCTCCCTTTGAAGCCTGAGAAGCCCAACTGCCCTGGTGGCTCTCTGAGCATCCATTGTTGGGCCACTACAGAGTCCAGAAACAGAGCAAGAAACGGAAGTGTTGAGGTCAGTGTAGTTGGTGTGAAATGTCCCCCCTAGGCCCATGTGTTTGGTCCTGATGGTGCTGTTCGGGAAGGTGGAGGCCTCACTGGACAACATGGTTCACTAGGAACAAGACCTGAGGTTTTATAACTTGGCATCACTTCCTGTCCACTCTCGTTGTGGCCAGCTTTCACCTCCCAGCATGGTGCCTTCCCAACAGTGATGAGCCCTACTCCTTCTAAAGCTGCACACCCTTCCTCCCTTAAGTTGTTCTTGGTGAGTGTTTGCGGGGAAAAGCATACCTAAGCTACCAGGCCATTGCATAGCATGCTGGGGCTCTCCGCCCCCTCCCTATGCTGCACCTGTGGACTGTGACTCTGGAAGGTGGGGTACTGCAGGAGGGATAAGCACAGCCTGATGTGCTACCTCAGGTTCCCAGGTTCGGGGAACCTGAGGATCCTCTGACCGTCAGACTCTAGTGCCTGCATCTTCAGAGGGGCTGTGGTCTCCACAGACTTCCTAGGTCTGCAACAGCACTAGACTCGCAATCTGCGGGTTACGACCCCTTTGGGGATCCTTTCACGGGGGTAGTCTAAGACCATCTGCATACCAGATATTTTCATTGCAGTTCATAACCGTAGCAATGAAAATAATTTTGCAGCTGGGGGGGGGGGATCACTACAACATGAGGGACTGTACTCGGGGGTCACAGCACTGCAACGGATGAAGGTGTGAGTGGTGGAGCTGGCAGACGCCCGGCCATCTCAGAAGTACAACCTCTGGTGAGGTAAGACTGTCTCTGGAGAAAAGGCCGACGTGACCAGCTTCTCCAGGGAGCTAGCTGTTGACTCTGCTCTGCGATACTCATTGCTGTCCCATCAATAGCTGGATGGGACCCCACAGAGTTGTGGGGTCAGAGGTCAAGGTGACTGTGGTGAGCAAGACTGTGTCTTGCGTAGAAAATGTGGCACCTCTTCCTCGGGTATCTCGGCCAGTTTATCCATAGTTCTTTTGATCTTAAGGAGCTTGTGCCTAGGCACGCACAGAGCCCTTCCTGCTGCATGGCTCAACAAGATTTGCCTTCCGAAGAGTGGGGATTTCCGAGGGGCATTCACATGGAATATTTTTGGGTCTGGTTACACTTGAGCCCAGTAAACATTGCTAGTTCCCACATCTCTTTGTCGCTAATTGAGCAGCTCTGTTTTCTTCCCTTCCCATATATTTCCGGCCTTGATCGTTTTCCAGGGTCCAGTTGTAGATCTGAGTCCAGGCCACTTTTCTTGTACACTTAGCTCAGTAGGGTGTTCAAGGCATGCCCCCAGGGGTCCCACTGGAAGCAGTAGTCACAGCTCCAGTGCTGGCACCATGCTGTATGCTGTAGAGACCTGTCCCCAAGTCCTCCCTGATTTGGTATGACTGCTAGAAGCCAGCTTTTGTAGGGCATGCTGGGATTTCTGAATTTTATCTTGTGACTTTAGGAAGATGTTAACCCAAAAGTAAAGTGATCAGATTTGCATCTCAGATAGTTTTTTTTGTTTATTTTGTTTTTGTTTTGTTTTGTTTTAATTTTTTTTTTTTTCCCCAGAAGCAAGTCAGATTCAGTTCAGGGTAGAGCTGATGAAGATTTGAAAAAGAGACGGAGAATTTTCAAGAATTTTAAAAATTTCGCAGAACTTTGTCACATGGGTGATGGAGGCCAAGCCCCTGGGAAGATGCTGAGTGGATGAGGCGGGGAAAGAGGACAGGTACACTGCCGTGCTGGCAGGGTGATGATGACTGAAAGGGAGCAGCCAGGACCTCTGTCTGAAGTGAAACGGGTTTGTGTGGTTCCCAGCCCCAAGAGCTGCCAGGTAGGGAGAGGAGATGCTGGAAAGCCCCCAATCTTACCCAGCACTCACCCCACACTTTCTTCAGACAGCTGGGTAAGCATGGGCTTGTGTCTGGGCCCATCTCAGCACACGAGTTCCCCTGGAGCCCAGGGCAGCTTGAGAGAGGAACCACTCGGAGCTCCCTGGTACAATTTCTTTCATTCTGTAGAGAAACGAAGGTAGTGAGGACAGATAAAGAAGCCCGGGTCTATGGAAAAGAATCAAAGGAAAACTCTAAGCAAAAACTAGAACAAAGTGTGAAAGGTCAGTCCTTCCTGCCTTGTAGAACTGAAAATACCTTGACTTGTGCTACTTCCAGCTTCTCCCAGACAAAGAAAATGCCCCGTTATTAAGGAGGAGTGTCGTGTCTGCCCGAGTCTCGGACCACACAGGCGTCTCTGCTCTGCCATCATCACAGAGAGTTCTGAAACAAGCTCTCAAATGTGTCCTTTACCCAAAATATTTCAAATCAGCTTTTCTTCTCTCTTTGAAGGGAGCGATTAACCACACACCGATAAATTGCTATGAATTGAGGCTAGCAGCTTTGGCAAGAGACAATTAGCTCACAGAGAGGGGGCCTGGGTGCGAAGGCCCCTAAGGCTCGTGTGCTGAGGGCAGCTATACATCCCTGATTTCTCAGTGCAGCCTCCCACGGACCCACAGGAGGGTCAATGTGGGCTGGAGAAGCACCAGTGTGGACATTTTCACTTGAGAACACTTCATACATACAACCCCCAATTGACATCTTGGTCTTAGCAGCTTCAGTAGAAGGCCACCCCACAGCCACAGCCCTGGAAGTTCGGTGCAGAAACATATTCCTGGAACCGAATGGGGATCTATGTGTCCACCCTCTGGAGAAGACACGGTACCTCAGCCTGCTGAGGAATGGTGGATGGGAGCAGGCAAGCTCTGCTAAGATGAGGCTCTGGAAAGAGACTAGAGGAGGAAGAACCGGGTAGAAGACTGGGACAGTTATTAACGTTTAGTCTTTCTGACGTCTGGCTTCACCTTCCCACTGTTCTGAGTTTGCTACCTTCCCCTTCACTGCAGACAGAGGAAACACATTCTTTCATTAGGGGGGCCTGGCCCAGAATAGGGCCTTCCCCTCTCCACAGTGGCTGCATCTCAAACCCCTGCGCATACGTGGCATTCGCTTTCAGCAGCAACAATTTCATCTGGGGTGTGGTACTTACCTTAATTGTCAACTTGACACAATGTACTATCACCCAAGAAGGGCCTCAGTGAGGAATTGTCTGCATTGGCTTGGCCTGTGGATCTGTAGGGGATCGTCTTCATTAAGTTATTGTTGTGGGAGGACCCTTCCACTGTGGGCAGTGCCATTCCCTAGGCAAGAGATCCATGTTGTGTGAGAGTGAGGGAACTGAACTGAGCACAGACAAGCAAGTGAGCATACGTTCATTTCTCTCTGCTCTTGACTGTGGTTAGAAGCAGCCATTTCAAGCCCCTGATACTATGACCTTCCCCCCCCCCCCATGATAGAATGTAACATGAAATTGTGAGCTAAAATAAATTTCTTCTCCCATAAGCTAGGTTCGGTTTGTTTTGATTTGGTTTTGGTTTTGGTCAGAGCATCAGAGCATTTTAACCTGAGCAACAAAATAAAACTAGTGAGATGGCTCAGCTGATAAAACCTAATGACCTGAATTCAACCCTGGTGCCCACGTGGTCAAAGGAGAGAACTAACTTCCGAAAGTTGTCCTCTGACAACACACAACGAATAAACAATTAGAAATAATTTAATCTCTAACCCCCGCATCCCCTTCCATTCCCTTTATTCCTTTATTCAGTATAGTCATAAAAGTATCACCCAGTGTCCTGTCTCCCAGTCATATAATTTAAGGGCCGGTTTTCTCCCTGGGGGCTCTAAGTCATTCTTTGATATGTTCTAGGTAGAGTGCTTTGGCTGCAAGTAACAGGAAGTATAACCACGGCATTTGAACTGATTATTGTTATTGTGCAAAGTCCTGAGGCCAGCTGTTGCTGGCACTGTGTGATCCGAATAAAAATGGCCCCCGTAGGCTCATGTATTTGAATGCTTAATCATCAGAAGGTGGCACGATTTGAGAAGGATTAGGAAGATTAGGAGGTGTGGCCTTTGGAGGGCGTGTGTCGGCAGGGGTGGGCTCTGAGGTTTCAAGAGCCTGCACCAGGCTCAGCACCTCTCTCTCCGCCTGTGGGTCAGGATGTGGCGCTCAGCTACTGCATGTGCCCTGCATGCCGCCCGCTCCCCACCGAGACGACAGGGAACTAACCCTCCAAAACTGTAAGCAAGTCCCCAGTTAGTGGACTTGCTTAACTGTAAGCAAGTCTTGCTTAACTGTAAGCAAGTCTCAGTACTGAGACTGTGTGTGTATGTGATTGAGACAGGTCTCACTGGATAGTCCAGGCTGGCCTCAGGTTTGTCATCCTCCTGCCTCTGCCTTCTGATTAAAGGTGTCTATCACTATGGCCGTTGTATTGAGAAGAGATCGTGGGGGATGGGATGGAAGAATGGAAGTGTGACCAGTTAGGAATCTATAGTACAAACCCAGGTGAGATGTGACAGTGGCCTGGACCAGGACCGCAGTGGGAGCGTAAAACACTGATCCGATTCAGGATATATTATGTAAGAGGGCTCCGGCAAATGCTTTCCTTCGTAAGATTTGCCTTGGTCTGCTGCTTCCTCAGAGCCACAGAACGACACACTGGCTCCAGTCTGTTGGCTCTGAGAGCTTGGTGCCTGCTGTTTCGTTTTCCTTTTGTTGGTCTTCCTTCTCACGTCTGCCTGCGTTCTTGGGAGAGGGCAGGAGGAAGCAGAGGGTAGTTCCAGCACTTTTC